GAAAAAGGAATGAGACCTTGCTTATCTTGAAGGAACAGAGAAAAGCAGCTGCATGGTGTCCCAGAGGGATAATATGCATTGGTTTGCCAATAGGACAACTGAACGGCTTCTCCAGATCTCAGGAGATGATGCTGAGGAATGGGATTGCAGTTAAACAGCCAACATCTTTTGTTTAGCGCATATTTTCTTTTTTACAACCTAATTGCTATTAAAAATCAAGTTTGCTTATTGAAATGTCAAGTGGTGGCTGTAGAGTTAATCATGGCACAAAGAGTTGAAGCATTCTATCATTTCATTGCAACCTGATAAAATTAGTATAAGTGGCCATCTGGTTACAGGCAGTCATTGAGGAGAAGGTGAGGTCTCTGTCTTGCAAGACATACAGTTAGAAACCCTGAGGATAAAAAGAAGAACAATGGCTAAATCCACACTCCTTCCTTCCAGAGGCACTGGAACAATGTGTGTAGTGGAGGTGCTGAGAGACACTGTACCAAACTAAACCCTGTAGATGTTGGAAACCACTTTGAGTCAGGGGCTGTGGAACCACCTATAGCAACCCTCATTCCAGCACCTAAGCCTTTTCTTTTACATTTTCTTATATCAGTTGAGCTTTCCTGGCATGAGAAAAAGTGTGTGTTGTAACAGGCAAGATGAAAAGTTGCTGAGCAAAATGACTTGACTGTAACTGGTACACTCATCAAATGCCAGGACACTTTCTGGCTGAGTAGAACAGACAAGAAGTTGGAAAGAGCTAAGTTAAAACAGACAGTGTAGCTGGACTACTGGCACCATTTCAACTTTAGTCTTCCTTCCATCCTCACCATATCAGATGTGGTCAGGGAAGAGAGGGGAATGGGCTTTTGGGAACTGTTAACCCATATTTAGTGGAGACAGGGTTGAAGAGCAGGCTACTAAATCAAAACAGAAGTTTGGGTGGGAGGCCTTACTCCTAGCACAATGAATGGAGAACCCTCCGATGTGAATTAAAATATTGTTTTCTCTGTGTCCACAGGCAAGTCTCTATGGGCACATCTTCACTCACTGTGCCAGAGATCGATGTTCTGGCATTTGATTTAGTAGGTCTAGGATAGAGCTGCAAATTGAACTCTGTGGGCAGATCTGGCCAGCATCTGTACTCCTCAGAGTTGTGAGGAGTAAGGAAAGCCGATAGAAGTGTATTCTATATTACCTGGAATTGTGTTCCTTAAGATGACCTTCCAGGGCTAGTGTAGACCTGGCCTATGTGGTCTAAACACCTTAGAAAAATGGCCCATGAAGAGCTATACATGAAGCAGTTAGCCTCTTACCTCTGTACACGACAGCAAATCCCTGTGCCTGATTGAACTGATCTGAGAAAAAATACAAAATGACAAAATCCAAAGAGACATTAAAGGAGATGGGAGGCCGGCTCCTGCCATCAAAACGAGCCAGCACCTGGTAGGTATAGCCATCCAGCACCTCCACCATGTCAGTGGAGTCTTTGATGTCAAAGAGAGTGAAGTCAAACTGGATCTGAGATGCTCCGGGAATTTGTATGGTCCAGTAGCAGACCCTGCCTGTGGCATAGGTGTCAGGGAAATCTGGGGAATAGATCACAGATGTTGAGGAAGTATAGTTCCCTCCACAGGATCCAATGAGGGCTGTGGGAGAGAGGAGAAAAAGCAAGTGAAAAATAAATGTGTATAATCTGTACTTCCATAGCATGTTTCATCTAAGACTAAATCTCACAGCTCAATTGTGGCTTTAAGCAACAGACTTGCACAGGGGCAGGAGAAGCTGAGAACCCTAGGGGGTTCTGTATCTTAGACCAGTGCAAGATGACTGTCTGGGTACCTGGAAGCATGGCTGTGGTGCTACCCTCTTCCAGGTTGCATTCTGCATGTCTTTCACAGGAAGGCAACTCTACTGAGATGGTGCAGAGCAAGGAACGGAGGGGATCAACCTCACACGTTTATTTCAGGAACCCTAGTGTCAGTCTAGGCTGTAGTTGTGTCTGTCTCTGGTATTGTAGCCAGTAGTTTGTACTCTCACATCACTTCACATCAAGGACAATCTGGTCAAAATGAGCTAACCACTTCACCAACTCTCACCCTACCCTTGTGAGGTCCAAACATATAACACTGTGTCTTGCTTATGAGCTACCTCTCCCTGTAATTAAAGCATTCTTAGCAGCACTTTATCTTTTGCATATAATTGTTTGTGTCATTAGTAACTAAGTTGCACACATGGATAAGAGCAGTGATTTGACTAAGAATAACTCTGTATCACAGGATTGTGTGGTCTAGGGAATAGGGTGTTCACTTATGGAAGGCTCTGTGGTGGGTTCTAGTGAGCTTCTCTCCCCCCTCCTGTTGCCCCCAAAGGAAAAGTGGGATAAAAGGGCACCCTGAACCTAGGGCAGGTCCTGGTATGGCCTAGCCAACAGGGTGTTTGCCTGGGGAGAACAGGATGGTGGGTTTTAATCCTTTGCTCTTCCCTGCCCCAACTCTGGCAGCAGAGGTTGACTTATTTGTGACACTGAAAAGTTTTCAACGTTTTGTGTGCAGAAATGCCTGAAACTAGTTTATGATCTTTTCTTCGGTGATGTTCTGGTGTGTACTGCTATTGTTTATGTAAACTAACATAGCCTGCTGGTATGTGATTTTGCACAGAAAGGGTCCATGGACATTAAGTATATTGACTGATTTACAGAGACTTCAGTGATGTGTATTGCTTACATCAGTGCTCAAACATTATCTTTCTGGCTTTGATTTATATTATTTCACATTCTCTTTCTGGGGCTGGAGCTGGACTATCACTAGCTCAGCCACTGTGTACCAACTTGAAGATCAAATATTGTCAGATTTTAAATAAGGGCTTAACCCGTTAGACCAGGGGTGGCCAACCAGTTAGATATGAAGAGCCAAAAGCACTGTGGATAGTAGTGCAAAGAGCCATACATCCCTCCCCCAGAGCCAGGCACCCCCAGTCCCGCTCCAAACCAAATCCACCTCCTGCAGAGCCAGGCACCAGAGATACAGGACGGTAACCATACCTTTCAAGTGGCCGCTCCCACCGCCCGGCCCAGCTGCATTGGGGTATGTCTACACTATAGTGTTATTTTGAAATATCTTATTTCGAAATAGTTAATTCAAAATAAGTTATGCATTTTGCAGGCTGCCATCTGGAAGGTCCATCAGGGGGCTGTCAGTATCCAGGAGGCCCTGTGGGAGAGCTTCCACCCTGAGGAGCACTAAGAGCCTCCTGGTCTGCCCCACTGGGGGCTTGTGCCTCATTCCTCCCTCACGTCCTTCCACTTACCCTTCCCTAACCCCCCTTCCTGATGTAAAATAAAATACATGTATTTTCATGAACACAAACTCTCTTTGCTAACTTTGGCTGGATGAATTCCTGGAGATTTCATCACATGACATAATCTTTAATGACAGATTAATCTTGAGTTCCTGGAGATGGCAGGAGAATCTGGGGGGTTGGCAACATTAGCCACAAGACCATTAAGTTTGTAGCACATCTGAGAAATCAGACCTCTCAGACCAAGTCTACACTGTCCAAGAAAATTGATGCAAGATACATAACTCAGATCATATGAATTGTGTAGCTGGAATTGCCTTGCACTGATTTTCTGGGGTGTCCCCCACAGTGGGAGATCAATGAGAGAAATGCTTCCATCAACTTCCTTTACTCCTTGTGATGGTGAGGAGTACGGATGCCAATGGGGGTGCCCTCTGCATTAGAGTTAGTGGGTCTTTGGGTGGCTTAGATCACAGAAGTCCCCTGTGGGTTTTTGCAAATCAAGCCAATGACACCTGCCTTCCCGCCCTCAGACTTTCCACCACCTTGTTCTGCTGGGTCAAAAGCTCTGGTCTCCTTCAGTCAAGGCACAGAGATGAGGTTACCTCCCCCCTGCAGAGGAACACAGACATCAATCAGTTCAGCTCCAGGAAGACAGTTATAAGGGCTCAGTATCCAGGAAGACAGCCCCCAAAAGACCAAATCCCCAAATAAATCTGTCTTACCTATGTAAGAGTTCTACACAGAGAAAACTCATACAGATGTCTGCTCCTCCTTAGTCAATGAAAGAGAGATATACATAGTGGTTGCTCCCCCAGGTAATGATTATTTACATTGGGCTTAATAGTAAACAAAAGGGTTTTTATTAAGTACAAATAGTCAGATTTAAGTGATTGCAGTGATAACAGACAGCTCAAAGTAAGCTACTAAGCCAAAATAAACAAAACACATCAGCTAATCGTAATTCACTAAGAAACTTTTTTCATGCAGTTTCTTACCTTAAATAGTTGTATTCTATTCTTTTTCACAAGCTAAGCAGCCTCCTAGCTTGGGCCCAGTCCTTCCCCCATTCATTCTTAGGGTATGTTTACACTAGCTCGTTAATTTGAGCTAGGTAGGCAAATGAGGCAACCGGAGTTGCAAATGAAGCCCGGGATTTAAATATCCTGGGCTTTATTTGCATGTTCCTGTCCGGTCGCCATTTTGAAATTTCACTAGCCCGAACTCACTGCCGCGTGCCTACACGTGGCAGTGAAACATTAATTCGAACTAAATCCTTAGTTCGAATTAACGCTAGTGTAGCCATACCCTTAGATACTTCCAGCAGGTCTTTTAGGTAGTAAGTGGAGTTTGCCTGTTGTCTGATAACTGTCCTAGGCTACGTCTAGACTGGCCCCTTCTCCGGAAGAGGCATGCAAAGCAGGCAAGTCAGAATAGGGAAATCCGCGGGGGATTTAAATATCCCCCGCGGGATTTAAATAAACATGGCCGCCGCTTTTTTTCCAGCTTGGGGAAAAGCCGGAAAAGAGCGTCTAGACTGGTGCAATCCTCCAGAATAAAGCCCTTTTCTGGAGGATCTCTTATTCCTACTTGCAAGTAATAAGAGATCCTCCAGAAAAGGGCTTTATTCCGGAGGATTGCGCCAGTCTAGACGCTCTTTTCCGGCTTTTCCCCAAGCTGGAAAAAAAGCAGCGGCCATGTTTATTTAAATCCCGCGGGGG